GATTTAAGTGTAAATACTCTATTTTTAGCATCAGCTATAGCAAAAACAATTGATATCATCACAATGGCTTCATCAATTCTATTCAAATTCTAAAAAATTATTCTTTACAACAATAAACAATACTAACAGTGGGTAGAAAACGAATAAAACTTTTGGAATAAAAGTTTTGGTTATGAAAACATGTCCCCCAAGTCTCCTCTTTCGAATGGTGAAAACTAGACCTCTTTAGCTTTTTTCTATCAAAAGTTATTCAAAAAACAGTCATATGTCATTCTTTTTTTGAATGGACACCAGTTCGTACATTTTTATTACTTGCTTCTCGTCATTAATCTCTCGCCTGCGTCAGTCTTCTCCAGTTTTTTATTTCCAGTATTTAAATATCATTCAACACTTTATCCTCCCATCGTTTTCGAATTCCAACAGTTTGAGACGTCTTTTCATCATGAAAATATGAGAACATACGTTTCTTGAATAACACATCTCATATAAAACGTTTTAATCCTCTGTTCCTGTGCAGTGATGAAACACCACGCTTCACTTCCGTAAAGTAACACTCGAAGCACGGGGAGGTTTTTGAACTTCGACAGGGGCCTGCGGCGGTTTTCGAGCAGCAGCACGAGGCGACCCTGAGCTGCCGGTAGCCAAATTTTGTCTGGTCGTGAGACTAGCAACCTCTCTCTCGATCCACTTCTGATCACAAATCCATCATTATATGTAACCTATACAACCCACTCATTAGTTCAGTACTCACTTATGGATCACCAGTTTTCATAACATTGCATGGAAAAGTCTGGACCAGATTACAGACAAAATAAAGGAATACGGGCAGCATTAGCTATACCGTACTATACATCGAGCAATTATAGGCACACACTCACATTTCATGACCACATTTCCGCACATAACTTAAATATCATTTGAGAAAATATGTAAACTGTTATTTTCTCCGTTTCGCCTTTAAGGTAGAAGACTTTGTCAGATACCTCTTGTATGTGTCACTTCAGGTTTATATTCATTGAATAAAAAATCGCTGTCTCCTCAAATTCAATCAAGATGTTCGTTATCACTCAATCACGATCATCGACAAAGATTAGCTTTGTTTGCTATGTGTGAATGATAATACTCATAGTAGACGAAGGAAAACTTTTTATAAGTCAGTATGACAAAAAACTAAAGCAAATGAAAAATAAATCGTTCGAGAGGTTATAAATAATCTACTATGATTTTCACACTAATTTCTTTACTCAATATTTCAGCAAAACGCTGTACCAGTGTTCCTGTTATGGTACAGTCAGCAACAATTGATGCAAAGGCTAAACCCAATTGATTACCATCTAAAGCATAATGCATTTTACCACCTGTTACTTTCGCCATATTCTCTAATAAGGCAGCATCGCCTCCAACTCCACATGCATTAATTGATATCGGTTCAATTTTACTACATGGTCGAAATTATAATTCATCAATAACAATAAAAAATGTTGATCATGAAAGTTTAAAAATTAGTGCAAC